GATCCGGACTGTATCAAGTCCCGGAGCTTGTCATAACAGATTAATGTGACAGGGTTGTCACCATATAATATTCATACCCATAATACATATTGATATATGCTTCAAGATTAAATTATAATTTGGAAGCACAGTAAGATCCAGCTTAACGCTGTTTCGTTTAGCGCTGCTTCGATTTAGCGCTTTATTTCAACACAGGAATTCTCCGAATGTGTGTTTATTAAATGTAATTCTTAACCAATTTTCAACCCATCTTCACCAAACGTGATGTTCATGTGTATAAAACGTCGGTTACTACTTACCATCAGTGAAACATCAGCTTGTTTACCATTCCAATTACATAAAAAAATCATCTACTAATAATTGAGCTTTACCTATCTCTTACCATATTAGATTTTACTCTGTTTTAGAATGTATAAATTCGACTGTCCTTACTATGATTGTATATTCAAAATTGGCCACCCTACTACCTACTAACGGCAATGACACCGCGCGAACCTGCCACAGGCTGGAGCGTGGGAGACGCCCGTTTTTATTACGGCAGCCCTGCGCGAGCGCATCCTATAAGTATTTTCTAAGATCTACTAGACGAGTTTCAGTGTATAAACGATGCATGATGCAATATATAGCGTATATACGCTAAGATTTATGGTATATTTTCGTATAAATATAAAACTGCACAAGATATCCACTGAATACCATATTCAAAACCATTGCACCTTTTTGAAATATTCTACCATTATTCAAAAGTAAATATTCAGATCGACATAAACTACCTAAGTATGTATAATAATATATATATGGTTTACCCGCATATTCGCGGTATATTTTCATATATTATAAATCTTATACTTATATATGAAAATATAAAAGAAAACTACAGCATATTCAGAATCACTACATCTTTTTGAAATATACTACTATTATTTAAAAGTGAAGTTCAGATCAAAGACTACCTGTCACGAGTTATGTATGGAATATGTATGGTTTACCCACAACTTCAACTGGTTTTTTAAAGATAAAACATAGCCTCGTGATACAATCTATGTACAACACTAATTTAATTAAGATTTATTCAGGCGTTTATTCTTAAAAAGATAGAGAGATTCTCACTTTCAGATTTACAATATTACTATAGATCACTATATAATATTTTTTTAATATAATACTTTATAAGACCAAAGACAGACAAAAGATCATTACAACAAAGTAAAGGTATTACGGATGTAACAGTTACATTTTTAATACATCAAACATATGATGAAAGCCAACGGTACTTGTTAATATCCGAAACAATTATCCAATAAAACTGTCAATACATTTTTTATTATTACCCATAAATCTATCAAAGAATGGCTTCCAGCATCTCTAATCATTAGTCCCCTAGGAGGCGCAATGGTCCATTAAATCCGAAACTAATACGCCCTTTACTATTTAATCGTTCGCCAGCAACTGTCGCTACATCATTATGATTTATGCTTTATTCAACGTTCATTCATCCATACAAACCAGTTCATAATATTCTGATATGTTTCTTGCGATCGCATTTTTTTATTTTATATTTAAAACCATGAATACAAGTCTTTCAGCCTAAATATCGTTTATATAATCAAAAGTCGTGAAAGTCCAAATATATATTTCTACAAAACAATTGAAAAATATTGTGTAGTAAATCTTAAGTTTAATAACGCAAATATGTAGTCAGAATAAAGTAAAATACCTCAATTGCTAAGAAACGTTCGATTCAATATATACCAAAATATATATAAAAATCTGGGAATGTTAAATTTTACGCTGACTGTAACTGCTATATTTGACAATACACCTGTAACCTGACTATCATCCGGGAAAACAGTTGGGAAAGTACACTAGTTTTTGCAAATTATTGTATAAATTGTTGCAAGAGATCTATCTCTGATTCCACGATTTTCTCGACTCAAAAGATTATAATTCCGCTAGTTCTTTGAATGTCATGTACATTCAAGAACTAGTGGAAATATTCAGCAGTCTCTGAGAGCTGATTCAAGAATGAAACATTTAAAATAAATAAAACAGTACATCAGATCAGAACAAAATATTACAGATATCACAAGTTCTTGAATATCATGTACATTCAAAAACTAGCAGAAATATTCGCAAACTCTGAGAGCTGATTTATTAGACCTGTATCATATCTTGTAAATGAATTTCAATCAAATAACAGTTTAACACTTATAACATTTTTTTAAACAAACTGATTATGCACAAAAGCAGAATAGAAAAGGAAAAAATTACTAATAACTGTAACACATCTTCAAACTTTAGCCAATTTCACAATATCTTTCTTCCGGGAAGTGATAGGCGAATGAATTATTAACACAGTTCCCGTGATTATAAACATCTCAAACGGACGGTTACATTGCATTTAAAAGACAGTAATCTTATCGGATTGCGCCATTGTAAACAAACATAATAGTTACTCGTTTAAAAACCAATTTCTCCGTACCCGCCTATAAAAAATGTAAATAAACTGTTCTATTATACAAAAGAAACGTACCTACACAATAGGCACAGTGTCCACGTTGGATTGGGGCCACAAAAGTCGCTATATTTCAGCATATAACGCAAATGAATGTTTAGTTTAATTACAAAAAAAATGAGAAATGGACTTTGACAATAGAATGGATTTCCTGAAACTTGTATTTATAGTACTAGACACACTAATAACATCACATTTATAAATCACTTCACAATTTAATATTTACTTATATTGTTAAATTGAGACCTCCAATAAAGTACATTGTATTTTGTACTTTTGTGTATCTTGTACTTGAAAAGTCTACTGGTCGTAGTAGACCATTTAGTTCAAATAGTCGATTTAAATTAAAGGTAAAATGACGTCTTCGTAATATAATAATTTTTACAATATAAGTATATATTATACTTATATGTCCCCAGTCAATAGTTATTGTTTATTATAGTTATAGTCCTATAAGCCGGCCAGCATGCGGTCCTGTCTAATAGGCAAAACTCGATAAAATTAAGAAAACAGATAGTATTTCTGTAAAAGGGTTATTTATAGTCATTGGACGCGTATAATAATCAAATTTTTGATGTTCAAATTCGATTAGTAGGCCGTATTAATGACTGATTTTCAAGTAATTAATTCGTAAATTTAATTATAATTATTAATTTAATGTCTATCACAATAGTAAAATTGTTATTGTATAAATTAATATAAATATGATGAATCGACGAAAAACAATCGCTGATCCTATGGCCTGCAAGCTATCATGTTAAAATCGCGGAACTAAGCTGGGATTTTCTCACGGCGCTCTTTCCGCAGGTGCAAAAGTAGTCTTCATTACACCGCAAATGTCCTTTGAGTATACTGTGACGACCACTTCCTATATTTGATATAGTATCTTCAAGTGTTCAGGTATATAATCTAATTTCATTATTTTAGGACATAAAATCGTGGACAAGTCACAACATGCCACGTAATTCAAACCGAACTATTATCTACAGCTGATTAGAGTTACATTACATTTTTATGTACATACAAAATCACCTAGACCATATAATCATATACACTAATTGAATTCACGACCACAGATAAGTAATTGAGTGTGTTAAATCGCTAGACCACCGAGGTCATCTAAAAAACTATATAAAATACTATATCCATTAAAATTCAAATCTAGAAAAAAATATCCTAGGTGAAAAAACTATTACTATTCATTAATTTAATATCTCACGACAATTCACAGCGCCATCTAGTGCCAAGCTAAACCGAGCTTGTGATATTGCTGCTGGATAACTAATATAAATATATAGATACAGTTTTCTGTAAATAGATCATTATATATTAAAAACACCCAGATCTATACAAACAAGTGATTGTTTGTATAGATCTGGGTGTTTTGATTCATGAGTGTGACCTCATGAATACAAATGTATGTACCGTGCGAAGATCGAACCCGCGACCATCGGATGCAAGTGTGTTAAACCGCTAGACCACTGCGGCCATCAAATTTACATTAACGTAATTCTTGTTGTAACAAAATTAATTAGATATCTAGATTTATATTCAATATATTGATTTAGAATGTCATAAATATATAATCAGGGGTCGTGATCTCATAAAAACAGAATCTATGTAAGTTCATGTAGAGGTGTTACAAAGTTGTTATGTTAGGTACTTACTAAATTCATTACAATATCAATCGACACGTTAGAACACATAAAACTATGTAAGATTTGTAATATCGCATATTGCTTATAAAATATATTTCGTCAACAGATATAAATTAATAAATACAAAATACTTGATAGCGTAAGTAACGTAACGTAACGTACTAGTTATAACGTTTCAAACTGAATACGTTTATAACGGTAATAACATTAAAAATTACTGTCATTTATGTATTACACATCCTATGTGTAATACATAAATGACAGCCTACTTATGCATCAACGAAATATCTCCTTTGGAGTATACACTCTATTCAGAGGAGATAAAAACCATCGCTCCTAAGAATGTTCTTCAATTCTTGTCCCTAACGGGTCTAGGTAGCAAACTTTGAAAAAGGGCGAGCACAATGGATCTGTGTAGGTCGCAGTGCTACAGGTCTTAGCACCTGACAATAGCCCAAAACTATAAATAATAAAAAAAATTACCGCTAATGGAAAAGGCATTAATTTCCACTATTTTTATAAATATACACTATGTTTATAAAATAAAATATCTATACATAGTAATAATATTGTTGTACAATTTAATTGTATGTTTATTTTTTACAAAATCATATTACCGTATTATAATTATATTATTTGTGTGTGCATGATTGTAAAGCATGCAATGTTTTTAATTTTGAGTGATGTTTTAGAGTACTTGTTGAATATTCAGCATGACATTACTGACTGAAATTATATCATTATTTTTTCGTTGGGTTTTGTGAGAACAATTTTATTAAACAATAGTGAATAGAATAGTAATAAAATTTTTGTATTTTTTTTTATAGATGATGAAGGCGGCCACATCAAGCAGGGCTACGAGTCAAGAAGGCAGAATGACCTGTACATGCGGCTCGGACTCTTGCTCGGCGAGCGGCGCGGTGCTCGCAATAAAGCTCGAGATAGCTGTACCTCACTTGCCTCACTCGACGCGCATACACTTGCCTCACATAACACTAGCCCGGTTAGTGTTGCCATCACTTTGTTACTTTTTATCATCATTGCAGCCATCGCCAATTATTTATTAACGGACTCGTTGGTGTAGCGGTTTAACACACCGCTTTACATTGTGCAGTCGCGGTTTCGATACCTCGCGCGGTGCAAACATTTGTTTTCATGAGTATGATATCTTGTATCAGTCAACACCGACATGCATAATATACACTTAAATACATTCATAATATACATATGAAATACCCAGGTATTTTATATGTATATTACGTATGTATTTAAAAAAACTGACTTAAATATTTATATCAGTGGCCCATAACAAAAGGGCTGCTTGGCTTGGGACTAGATGGCACTGTGAACTGTCCACTATTATTATTATAATTTTTATCATATACAATCTACTGTCATCAAATAATTAGAGAAGGACTTGACTCTTGGAGTCCACTGCCAAGGAGGCTGCATCAAACTATACTGTATGTATATTAAGCCGTTGTTAATACTCCGTCGACCCCAAATAATGAGATAAAGGCAAGACTAATAATTACTCGGAAAGCCTAATACTTAAAAGATAATATAGTTCAATAAATAAAGGTAATATTTGAATGTCTAAATATATTTTTTGCAGAATCTTTCAAACAAGTTATTTAGTTAAAATATTCGCTTTATTTGCAGGTATCTACCCTGACAGGGTCGTCGGAAGTCGATGTGGTGACACCGTTAGGTCGGGACTCTCTCGGCTCCCTGGCATCCATGTCACTATCTGCAGCTAGCAACTGCTCATCATCGAGCCCTGGCAGCAGACGGCATTCCGTCAATGGTAAATATGAACAACAGAATGTTGCTTTTAGTTTAGTAAGGTCTGAAATACCAATGAGATGAGATGAGACCCACAATGAAGGTATATGGTCAACAACATCAGGCATTTGCGGAGGCGAAACCAATTCATATCTACCTTTTCTTGTTAATTCGTCGACTCATTTGTTTGTATTGCCTAATAAAATATCCTTATTTTTGTAGATCTATAAAATCAAATTATAGTCACACACACACAAAAAAAAATGAGCAATCAAATCAAAAAAATACAGCATAATCAATTTAGAAATACAGCAATTATTCACTAAATAATATATTAGTACCAATAACCTGGATTAGTATGAATGATGGATATTTGTAAAAGATCCAAAATTCAAAATATCTTTATTCATGTAGGTCTATTAGATACAGACTCTTATGATATGTCAAATCTACCGTCAGTTCGGAATGATTTCGTGATGAGAAGAACTAAGAAGAAACTCAGCTCGTATTCTTTTCAAATAAATGTTGTACATGTTTACAATAAATTTATAATAAATCCCCCTGTATTTAATTAAGATTATAAATCTGTCTTAAATAATCAAACCTCTACTCGTCTCTTATCTATGCGTTTCATATCATCAGTTTATTCAGAAATACTGGATTTTTAATAAAATTTTCTTTTCTTCAGCATTGCAAAGTGCTCGCTCTGAAGAACTAACACGGATGTCCAGTGGGTTCTTTAAGTCTAGAAAAACAGCGGCCAGGCGATCTGCACGGGTCAGCAGTAAGCAATCTTCATCTTCTTCTGAAATTAAGAAAGGTAAGTACAAAAGCATACAAACAAGCTTTGAATCTAAATTTATGACTTAAAAGACACTATCAATTAAAAAAAAATATCTGCTGTAATCCTCGATAAAGAAGCAGAGGCAACCAATGGTCCCATGGCCAAAGCAACACTTGAAAAGTCCCTAATATATTGCTGCCGATTGCTATTTCTCCTATTTCTACGCCACTTTTCATCACCTTGACATAAAATTTTTATAGTGTCGGGCACAAACTACGGTTTTCAACAACTTCCAAAACAAATCAAACTATGTAGTTGTGTCTACACTTGTAATATTTCTGTCAACACTCGAGACCCTTCCTTTAGTACCTCTCCAGATAACATAGATTTAAGTTCAGTAGTAAAGCAGTTAAGATTCTGACTTCGTGTTGAATGTACACGTTACTAATAAGCCATGTAGCACACATACCAAATAAACTTACTAATGGACAATAAATCGTACAATCATTTCATCGATATACTCACAACCTATATAAACAATATATTATGTAGCGACACCTCATCACATCATATAAAACGCTACAGTGGTGAGGTGATGAACTACCGCATAGTAGTATAAAAAAACAATATTCATAAAAGAATACAGCATGTAAATATGAAAAAAGTTGTAATAATATATCTATAAAATAATTTTATTCAAATTTACAGTATACCCTTCACTACCACTTGCATTACGACCATTGTTCTTCGAAGTTCCATCAACAGACAGCAACGCCTACTTCTGCGGCCGTCAGTGGCTGGTCAGGGATATGGAGAAAGCACTGGAATCCAGCACATCAGGTATGTTGATTGCAAAACTTTATTCTTATAAGGCATTTTGTAATGTATATTCACACTACTAGGTTGGAAAATTACGAGTAGCTTATTTTTATTTACTAGTTTATTTTTACTCGATATTACAGAGTTTAATAATAAACAAAAGAGCATGTGTATCTCAAATACATGGTAGTAGAGTGTAAAGTTTTTTATTGATTTAATGTATACATTTTGCAAAGTTTATATAGAAAATGAGTGTAGAATACTCATAATAATTTTAAAAAAATTACGCATTTGTATACGTATTTTTTTTAAATTTCGTAATTTTTTTGCAAAATTACATACTCCTCCGTCCGCGAGGTACAAAGTTTTTGCTTGTCGTATAAATATAATGATTTTTAAAATTTTCAGGAATCCTTATATCCGGTACCCCAGGAACAGGCAAAACGGCGTTTATATTACAACTAGTTGAGTATTCATGCTTCGGTCGAAAAAGGAACTATGAATACGAGGAGTTACGAGAACAATGTGATATCAGAGAGTTGTTACCTGAAGAAGTCACCGCTACGATGTTTACACGACTCGCTTCTAATGTTGTGGCCTATCACTTCTGCCAGGTATGTTTAAATGTCATGGAAATTGCTTATAAACCTACATTTTTAAACTAGCTTTAAAAAAAAAGATATTCAGTTGACTTTCTTCCCGGTTCACCTCAACTGAATCTATATACTGAGCAGGATAACGGAAAATCTTGACGTTTATAAGCGACTAAAATGTCTGACATGAATAAATATTTTTTGATGTGATTTGATGTAAGAACAAAAGCAAATATTGAAGAATAAACTTCTCAGTGACATACATAATTCGACTCGCTTATGTCCTAAAAAATATAATATAATATATAGTTTATTTCTAAACTATAAATTTTAAATTAATTAAATTTGTTTTAGGCCGATAATAACAACACCTGTTTAGTAGGGGAGTTCGTTCACTCTCTCGCAGCACAACTATGTCAAGCACCTAAGCTCCACGCATACAGGGAATATATCCTCAGTGAACCGCATCTTACGGCTTGTCTATCACTGAAAGAATGTATAGCTGATCCAGACTTGGCTTTCATGCGTGGTATCATAGAACCTCTTATCATATTGAGGAAAAATGGAAGCATAGAATCAGGCAACTGCATTATTTTAGTTGATGGACTCTGTGAAGCTGAATACCACAGACCAGATCATGGACACACTGTAGCTTCTTTCCTAGCTAAACATGTCCCTGAGATGCCTTCGTGGCTTAAAGTTGTAGTGACAGTCAGAACACAGTTTCTGGAAATAAGCAGACAACTCCCGTATACGAGACTAAGTTTAGATGAGTCTGATAATGTACATAAGGACCTTCTAGAATATTTCAATACCAGAGTACAGGCAGCTCCTATTATTGAAACAAATATTAAATGCTCAACAGGCAAATCGGAAGGGGTTCACAATTCTGTAATGAAATTCGCTCAATACGTCCTACATTTGAGCCAAGGATCGTTTTTGTTCCTGAAATTAATTTTAGATTTACTCGAAAGAAGTCACATCGTCGTGAAATCAACTAACTATAAAGTAGTGCCAATATCGTTGGCCCAAATATTTTTATTGCAATTCAATTTGAGATTCCCCACTGTGCAGTCGTTTGAGAAAATAACTCACATATTGAGCGTTTGTTTGGCAGCTCTCTATCCACTAACTTTAGTCGAGATATACTATTCGGTCAATTCATTATTAGTTGACACGTTTCTGCCATGGGAAGAATTTTGCGACAGATTTGAATCCCTCACGGATTTTCTTGTGAAGAGAATCGACAACACGTATATGTTTTTCCATCCGTCATTCAGGGAATGGTTGATTCGTAGAGAAGATAATGAAAGCTCGAAGTTCCTTTGTGATTTGAGAGCAGGACACTGTGGTATTGCATTTAGACTATCCAGGGTACAAGCGCCGCTGGATTCTGAAAAGACTATGGAATTAGGACATCACATTCTTAAAGCGCACATGTACAGAAACATGGGACCCGCTCAATTAGGATTATGCCCGAGAGATTTGCAAGCCATGATGGTGGCCACGAGTTCTGCAAATGTTGGCGAAGCAATAGCCAACATGAGAAATATATATACGCCAAACGTAAAAGTATCGCGACTAATGCTCCTAGGTGGAGGTTCGCCTAATCAAATCACAGAGTGCCTTGGAAATGCTCCCTTACTGTGCATATATGCGTATCAAGGCATAATTTCTATGGTTGGATTACTGATTGAATTTGGTGCCGATCTAGAAATGACCAATTCTCAGGGTTGTACAGCGTTATCTTTAGCTTGTCAAAGAGGGCACACTGATGTTGCTAGAAGATTAATAGCTGCAGGTACGTACATATAGCATACATTATAATTTATTAAAAATGATTGATAATTTCGATAATAATTTGTTAAATATGAACTGTATTGAGAATCAATTCTTATAAGACCTCGGCTAAGCTTTATTTATTTATTTCCGCGGGTTCGAGTCCTCGCATAATACAAACATTTGTATTCATAACTGATTTTTTGTACCGGTCTTGGTGCTTTCTGTATGAATTTACAAAAATCTATTTTAAGTATTTATTTCAACTGCTTAGCGTAATTGCATAACACCAACACACCACAACCTCTGTTTAACTTGGGACTGTTGATGGCGCTATTTAAAGTGTCCTAGATTATTATAATTATTAATAATGTTATAAAATTTCAGGTTCATCTCTGAGTCACACAGACACAGCAGAACAAACTCCTCTAGTACATGCAGCTAAGAATGGACATCGAGACACAGTAATTTATCTCCTTGGTTGTCAAACTGGGAGAGACGACAGGAACTCTTTAGATATCGACGGGAGTATCGAACAACTAGTTCCAGGGTCGAGACATGCTCTGATCGCTGCAGCCCAAAATGGTCACTTAGACATTGTGGAGTATCTTCTAGATACTGCAGAATTAAATGTGAGTAACTGATATAACATATAACTTGAGATATCAAATTATAAAATATTTTTTGAATAATGTTAATTCGGGTGATGATAGAAGTAATAATTAATATTGAATTCATCTTTCAGCCTGATGGTATATGCCCTGTTACGGGTGAGACAGCTCTCACAGCTGCATGTTCTACTGGAAATATTGCAATTGCTGATGCTCTTCTAATTAGAGGAGCAACTCCATATTCCTTAAATGCTAGAGAAATGTCGCCACTAGCATTAGCTGCTAAAAACGGAAGGTCAACTCTTGTATTGAGGCTTTTAGACTCTGGAGCAGATGTGATGGGGTCTGATGGAAAGATCCCTCTAATATTGGCCGCAGCGGAAGGGCATGTGGATGTTGTGGAGATTTTATTAGATCATGGTAAGTGGCCTTATATCTCTAAGAATGCACTACTGTAATTGTCGATCAAGGGTTTGTCATTTATTTACTATCACAATTATAGTAAACACACTTGACAACCCCATATAACGTAATATGTATTTAGGTACTGTTATAATTTCGACCTTTTTTATTGTTTAAATTTTGAATCTTTATTTTAACTGTCTTATCTTTGAAATACTGATTGGATACTAAGTTCAAAATAGGCTTCCCTGTATATTTCCTCTCTATAATATATAAAACAATATATGGTAGAACGCAGAACGTTATTATTACCATGTAAAAATTTACTGCTCATAACTTAAACAAGTACTGAATCATCATTAATTTGACATTAGAAATAGAAATAATCTTTATTTAAATACACTTAATATAAGCATTTTTGAATAGTTAATTTTTTTTTTAATCCATTCATTCAGAACGCAGACCCATCATAAGAACATTTAACGGGAAACTTGCATATTGCTCTTTTAAATAAATGTTGTTATACCTACTTATAAACTTGTTTACTTAAACAGTAACAAAGGTTAGGTATGCAACAATCAACATAGAAACCGCTACGCACTCAAACTTTAAGCAATTAGCTAATATTGTCAATGTTATGAATTTTAAGCTTTATTTTATTTATTTTATTTCTCTATAAAACATTATTATCATTTATAAACGCTTATTATTAGTTCTAATGCATTCACAAAAATAATACCAACCAAAACAACTGTTTTAAATATTATTATAACTTATCAATACAGGTGCTGACCCGGAGGCAACAGACAGCGATGGAATATGTTCTCTAGGATGGGCGTGCCTTCGATCTCGAATACAAACTATGGTTACACTATTAGACAGAGGCGCCAGTATCGGTATGTTTAATCTTTAAATTTTAAGAATTGTAGCAAACCTGCAATGTCTTAGTTTTATTAGAAACATTTTAATAGTATCAGAAATAATTGCTTTAAAAACAGTTTTGTGACTTTTTTTATTAAGGATAACGAGTTTGTTTATTCATGTAGGAAAAATTACTATTACATTATGTTGAGAAAGTATTAATATAATAATAATAATCTCAGGACAATTCACACAGCGCCATCTAGACCCCAGTTAACCTACCTAAAGCTTGTGTTATGGGTACTAGATAACTGATTCATATTCATAGATATTTTTTTTTTCGTACAAACAATCATACTCATGAATACAAATGTTTGTGCCGTGCGAGGAATCGAACCCGCGACCATCGGTCGTAAAGCGGTGTGACCGCTAGACCGCTAGACCATCGAGGTCGTCAAGTCAAGAAAGTATTTTAATATTAATATTTAATTTCTACGAGTGGTCACCCATTGGTCGTATTTCGACCATAGTTAAATTTAATTTAAGTTTGAATTTAAATTTATATTAAGATTAAAGTTCCATTGTCAAATACTATTTCTCAATTTGTACGTCATCAATTGTGTCAAATACATGGTATAGTTTATTTTATTCATTTATTGTATTTTTTGTAATTAAAATATTTTAATAAATAATGTTCTACATTTCCACGACATATTTTTAAATGGAATAGCAAACTAGTCACCAGCCACGTATCTAGAAATTTCACAAATAGATATAAATCAGTCGTTAGGCGAGGGTTCGGTTCTGGGGTAGGCATGTGTTTAGGGCAGAACCGATTCTACAACACTCTTATGTAGTAGTACTATTGTAATTCATTCAGAAGTACTTCGGCATACAAGGTTCTACATGCCATGTCGGTGTTCGACCCATTAGAGTCTTGGGGTTTAGGTCCAAATCACTACTTAGGTTCGTGTCAAACTTAAATCTATTGAAATAGATTTACATAATGTGTCATTAATAAAAACCCACAAATATCACCGTGATATGGTGGTATTATCACAAGCTGCTTGACGGCTGAAGTAAGCGAGACAACGATAACACCATGCTGGCCCTGACGACTGCACAAAGTGTCTGTAGAGGAGGATCCCCCTTTGCAAATAAAAATATATTTGGATCTTTAGTTCATTCACTATTTATTTACTGAGAAAAATCCTGAATTTTAAACTATTAATTAAAATTTCCAGATCAACCCGACAATAGTGGGCGTACTCCATTAGGATTGGCATGCGGTGGACCAGCAGATCTAGTTGAAATACTATTGGAGCGAGGAGCATCGCTGGAGAAAACAGACCACAGCGGACTGAGGCCTTTAGATAGAGCTATTGGTCAGAGAAATGTTCATGTAAGTGTGGACTTCATTTAAATCTCATAAATTTAATATTTCAATGACACAGCTACCGAGATAAATGGATGGTGTAACAAATGAAAGGTTATAGTTATAAAAAAGGCAGATACTCAGTAAACTATGGAGATTTAATTCTTTTAATTTGCAAAAACTATCGGCCATGTTGTTGTAAATCGGAGAACTGGAACAGAGAAAGCAAAAGAAAATATAATATATAGAGACACCACATGTCGCATTTACGGTTGACCAGATGACGGTGATGAAACTTATGACTTCTACGAGATTTTAATTATTTCAGGTGGTCAATTGCTTCCTGAAAAAGGGTGCCAAACTTGGTCCTACGACGTGGGTGATGGCGTCAGGCAAACCAGAATTTATGTAAGTCTATGTCAAATGATAATAAAAATCGTAAATATTTGTAGAAATATATGCTTATATATAAATTTAAAAAAAAATTGTTTTGATACAATAACCCTATTTATTTATTTTGTATTTCTTGTAAATAAACACCCATACATTCATTCTGAGTAACTTAATTATCCCTCCGATCGATCCCCCGTCCGTCAAACGGGGATCGAAATTAGAACGGACGGCCTGGCGTATCCGTCAGGCGGGAGTTGACCTTTAACCGTATCATAAGTCCTTCCGCGAGTTTGGAGTGCCATCTGCACTCGCCCCCTATCATTTCGTGAAACTGTAAAGGGCCACTGGGGTCAACAGTACCATTAGACCATTACAGTAGTCCAAAAAAAAGAATAACTTATAAAAATCGGTACTTATCAATAATTTCCGATAGTGCTACAACACGATTTAAAAAGAAACCTGGCAATATATGTAATGTCAAATTTGTCTCCGAGATAAAAGAACAGACTATAGTTAGGTATAGCAATAACTTTATACACACAAAGTTTTTTTTATGAATAGAGAAATGTCACACGAAACAGCTGTAATTGACGTTTGTTGAACGTTGAAAACACAAATAAAGCTTCTAGTTTAGCGTACTTGTTACAGTAGGGCTCAAAGGGACATGTATCCAGTAAGAGCCGTAAATAGAAAAAAATATATTTACATTTAATTGTTACAGGCTAATATTGCTGAATAAGTTGTTAGAAGACGGCAACATGTTATACCGGAAGAACCGTCCATCGGAAGCAGCACATCGTTATCAGTATGCCCTGAAGAAGATTAACCCACTGATAAGTGACGAAGGGCAAAGCACACCAGCCACACAGCCGGTGCCTCATGAACACGTATCTGCTTTTGTACAATTGAAGACGAATCTGTTGTTAAATTTGTCGAGATGTAAAAGGAAATTAAACGTAAGTATTCTAAATCACATTGAATTTTAGCCAAATGTTTATTTAATCCTTGACCTTTAATCCTTATCTATCTGTGGATATTAGCTCACTAAATGAAAATTTATAATGCTGTTTTCTTTTTGTTTGAAATCGAAATGGTTTTTAGGTACAATTTGGTAGATTTATTTGTTCAAAGATTTTTTTTAAATAGAATAAAAATGTCACGTGTTTATCTGAATATTTCAGTGAGTTGGTATCTGGCCAATAAATATATATTTCTAATCTCCCCCCGTCTTACAGATTAACTTGATTTACGTCAAGAATTGCGTTCTTTAGATCATCTACATTTGACAATTTTTCTGATTAAGCATAACAGTAGTGAAGGTATGTTATATTATTATTATTATATTGCAGGAACCATCCGAAGCGTTAGACTTCGCAGCGCGTGCTTCCGTCCTACGGCCTAATGCTTTTGAATGCGCATACGCAATGGCCCGAGCTATCCTCGCTCTGAACAAACCCTCGGAGGCTCTCCCCCACGCCAGACGGGCCTTAGTTCTAGCACCTTCCACAGACTTATCAGCTATCAGGACACTGAAGGCTTTACAGCAAGAAATACTAACGAGAATCAACACGGGCTCTCACAGTTTAAGCGTTGAAACAAGATCTATGAGAAATTATGACACGATAAGTCTAAATTTGCCGTAAATATAGTTTGTATATTTCGACTACGATTTATTATGAATTTTATAATAAATATAATAAGGTATAACGAAAACTACTTTTGTAACTGGTTTTACAAAAACAATATATGAAATTGTAAGAAAGAAAAATTAAGAATGATTCTACTATAGAGTATATACTATAGAGCTCTCATTTTTTCTATTATAAATTTTCCATATATAGACTATTTGTAAATGGATAGAAAATACGTATATAAGGACTATTTTAACTTTTTTTTATATATTGAGTGATGTGTTAACTTCGGTAAATAGTATTATATGACTTTATAGCTTCTTAAATAGTAAAGTATAAAAAATACTTTGTATAAATACTTTTATATGCATTATAAAATATATACTACGATACTTTTAAAAAGCAGTCTTTTTAAGTAATTTAATTTGTGGACAGTGATATTTTTGTCATGCGATTAAATGACATTATAAGTAATATTGTAAATAATTGTAATTCTGTCTTACTACAGCTGTAATGTACAGTTACAAGTTTTTTTTACACATAATGCCTCGAATATTGTTTTTTATTCGTTTCTAAATTTACTTGCCATTTTGTTTTATTTTAGATTCACAATACCTTCAAACAGTGCCTTGCTTTAACATGTTTAATGTATGAGGTATTCAGTTTTTGTTGTTGTTTTATTTTTAATAAGGTTTTGAGTTAAACTCATGTATGTGCCCATTTCCTTGCTTTAATTTATTGAGTCTTTAAGAAAATTACTTATTAAATCTAAAAAGTATGAGAGTTTGAAGAGAAATTTTGTTTTGTAAGCGATATTATGCCTATATTTTTAAACATATAAACGTATAAAGTGTGATGTATGAAAACTTATTGAAATTTATTTATTTATGGTTTCCAATTTTAGCTATAGACAAAAATTTTAAAATATAAAAAAAAATTGGTAAAATTTCTATTATGTCATAAGTGTCTTACATAGCGTTAGTTATACAATCTACTTGCATATAATTTTACACGATCTATGATTGTGTTCCATAGCGGAAGAAATAAAAAATCTATAGTTTTGGCTATTGCAGATTGTATGTTTTATTACAATCTGTGGAAAAAATACAGCATTCTAAATTCAAATTGAAATACAATGCGAGTCTATATATTTGAATTAAAATTAACCTGAATATTAAAATTATGAACAATTATTATTATATTTGCATATTAATGACATTTATGACATAATACGACATTGTTAACACTGTTTTCTCTCATTCTGAGCACTACATCCAAGATGGTCAATTCGTATGAGATGGCAAAGACTGATGGAATAAAATTTTCTGACATTTAAAATGCACTTGTAGCTATAAACTAAATTGGTACAGATATATTATGCTCATACAAAAGTATATATATACTCCAGCATTTAAAATAAACCTATTTCAATGTTTTGTCCTTTTCTTTCGATTATTTTGCTTAATTCGAAAGACAGTGATAAAACACTATAAAATACAATAAATTTGCTTAATGCTTTATTTTTTTAACATGTGAGTTAGTGAACAAAGGTACTCGTACATACAGCTTTAAACATGGTCATAGACAATGATTTGTCAACGTTAAATATGCTTTCGAATGAGCAGATATGTCGGTACCGTTATATTTAAGTACAGTAATAGTTACAGAGACAGTAGAACTTGTTTATTATTTTAAAATTTACATACTATAGTAAATAAAAAATCATATTGCTTCAATTGTGTTTTTTTTTATTTACCCGGTTCTGCATAGGTTGTCATATTCGTATTTAAATTATACCTCTTCTGTGCCTTGTCTTTTCTCATTATTTGGGGACGTCGCAGTATTTGTCCCTAGAGTTCTGTAAATGCCTCCTATTTTTAACTAACCTATCTTTCAAACTTTGTATAAAGTCGCCACATTCTGGCGACTTTGACAAACCTCCAACATTTCTTAAAAAAAAAAGTGTCAAAAAGACAAGTTTATTACTTATATGCCTTTATTAATATTATTACAAATACATAAAACAATAAATCTATACATAATCTATTTATAAAAATATGTGTCATACTTCACATATTACAATAGTTTTTATATTTCCTATTCAAATAAAAGAAGATATCCTTATAATATAATATATTCTAAAAAGGTGTAAAATATGAAATCTATAAGTACTTAGTTATAAAAAAACAGCCATTGTATTAAAGCCCTAAAACAAAAATATATATTTTCTTCTACAAAAATTCCTCCAACAGCTTAATTATTAAAAAAACTACTTCGTAGGTAAAGGCAAAGGCCCATTTCTGAACAGCCCATCCCTAACCGGTAAGGCCTGAGGCTCATCCTTATTGCGCAAACGGTTACTGTTTTGCAAATACAATGGTAGCAAAACCAACGATTTGTTACTAGTTTTATGAGTGAGATCTATAGTTCTCACTGTAGGCTCATTGCCAGAGGATAGTAACCCGTAGTTGTATTGTGGCTTGGCGTGATAACGTATTTTATGATTATTAGAAAGTTGGAAGAAGGGTCTGGCTAGAGGTCTGGTCGCTGGTGGTAAGAATACGTGGGGGAAATGAGCTAAGGTCTGATGGAGTTTCTCGTCCGTTTTCTGGCGGTCGAGCGGTATTGAGTATATGGTGTCAGCGAACATGCGCTCACATTGTGGAGTCGAACGGCGTTTTGATATTGGGCATGTCTGAAACAATATAATCAGTAGAGTTTCTTGCCACTTCTTCTGAATTGAATCTGTATATTTAACTAGACAGTGGGGAAAAGATATTAAACAAAACATTTACGTACATAAGCGGCTAAAATGTCCTAGATTTGTTAATTGTTTTTGATTTCAATAAATTGATGTGGACATATTATATAGCGCCATTTAATATGGTGCTACAGTGTATACTTATACTGAAAAGTGTAAACTCGTAACTCTGGTACAATAATAAAAAAAATAGCCCAGAACAACTGACATAACGCCATCTAGTCCCAAGCTAAGCAGAGATTGTATTATGGGTACTAGACAAAATACTTGAAACATTATTAAAACAGTTTGTGCATTGCAAGGAATCGAACCCGCGATCGTCGGAAGTAAAGCGGTGTATTAAACCGCTATACAACCGAGGACGTCAAAAATAAAAAAAGGAAGTTTGCATACCATTAACATAGTGTCGATAACATTTAACAATTTCTTTGGAGAGTTGCAGTGCTGCAAATACATGGCCGTGTTGAAGAAGGAGCTGGTGTACAAGTTGCTCAGGTAATACCACGGACCCTGGCTCGCCGTGCGGATCCTCTCCTTCATTCTGTAGTAGTCCATGAAGCCAAATTTGTTGATCACGTTCATCTTCTCCATCAAGCATTTCGTGGATTCTGTTGAGTCCTGACACTGAAATAATGTTTTAATTTTGATATACATTATTCATTATATAATAATCGATTCACACACTTAAACTTAAATTGTAGAGAATAAATTATTTAAAAGAGCTACACACAAGTTTCTTGCTTGTTCATCTTGTGATGAGACAGCATTCCGATAAGCGGTAGATTAAAAAAAAAATGTTATGACTATTCAAAAGTGCTTCAATGGAAGTTTATTTGAATAAATGATTTTCTATTCTATTCTAATCTATTTTGGCTCTTTCTAGCAGCCATATCACTAAATGGAGCTCCATTACCGATCTGCTCCGATTTCCAGTACCTATACCTCCAAAGCAATGGTGAATTAGATCAAACCATAAAGCACAGAATTAACGCTGGATGTATGAAGTGGCGACAGCTCACGGCGACGTGTGACCCACGTGTTCCAATAAAACTTAAGGGTAAAATTTACAAGACCATGATCCAGCCTGTTGGCTTGTATGGATCAGAGCGCTAGACTATAAAGGTGACGGCTGCATGCAACTGAACTGCGAACGTTGAGATGGATGTGTAGTGTTGCAAGAAGGGTTAAAGAATGAATACATTAGAGGAAGTAAAACAGTGGCACCGGTTAGGTTAAAGAGTAATGTCTGTCGTCTGTCTGTCCAACACTGTGCACTCTATGGCGGTGTTTCCCAATTAGTAGTGCGCGTACCCCCAGGGGTACGGGATGTTGCATCAAGGGGTACTTGCGGCTATCAGTAAATACCTGAACAATTTCCAAAAGACTATTTTATAACGATCGTCATCGTAAGCACCTGCCGCATCTCGTCATTCTACTGCCCCCGCCATATGTCACCCGTTATTAATGTTATTTTGTTATTTAAACTGATTTTTTGTTATTCAAAATACATCAGACTTTTTTTTATGTAATGCGTAGGAATGAAGATCATATCATTAGGACGGTGTTACATTTTTTTTAGGGATAGATTTATGATATGGTGAGAAAGGGAGTAAATAACGGAATGACTGCGAACAGAGATGAATGGAAGAGAAAAACATATTACGCCGACCCCAAATAAATGAGATAAGGAAGAAGCAGATGATGGTATTACCCTCGGTTTAACCCCTATCTGTTAATCTAGGGTGTCAACTACTTGTATACCAAATTTCATTAAAATTGGTCCAGGCATTTGAGTGTGAAGAAATAAAACATACTCATACACACACACTCACAAACTTCCGCATTTATAATATTAGTGTGATTGCTACAATAAGGGGTACGCAAGATTTGGTCTTTTTGAAGTGGTACACAGCAAAAACTAATTGGGAACCACTGCTCTATGGTTTATACTAACTCTAGCGTTTGTCCAATAGTCATCAGATTTACTCGGAGTCCGTATCGCTACCAACTCTTGTTCAGTAAGAGTCGTCAGGCCGCAGTCCTCCAATATGTAATCAGGCACCAACTTTGGCAGATTGCAAATCGAACGACGGTACTTCTGAAAAAAAAATGTTAACTCTGAACGTGTTACTACTGTATATTAATGTACTAGCTGACCCGAGCAATTTCGTTTGCCTCACACTTACTTGACATTTATCATTATATTTCGCCCAGTTTACATAATATCTTTTAAAATTAAAAAAGTTTCACTAAAATCCGTTCAGTAGTTTTTACGTGAAAACTCAAATTCAAATTCAAAATATCTTTATTCATGTAGGTCTATGTTCATGTTGTTCTCTGAATGAGTTCACGAAGATCGCTTTATTTATTATAAGTTACAATTAATTTAAAAAATAATGTTTGCTGCACTATTGTATTAGGCTAAGACGTGTATAAATAGATGTAAGTGTGGAAAAATAAATAAATAAATAAATGTCAAATCTACCGTCAGTCCGGAATGATTTCGAGACGAGAACTGACAAGAAACACAGTTCGTATTTTTTTTCAAATTAATATAATACTTGTACAATAATACAGATTAATTTTTAAATTCAAACTTGAGAGAATAGTGAGTGAAACAGTAACAAACATCCATCTGTACTCACAAACTTTCATTCTTGTATGTATTCTTTCATGTTTATAATAGGTATCATTAAAATTAAGCTTAAAAAAAGATAAATAATAATTTATAAATGCTCCAATACTTACAGGCCTGTATTTGGATAAGCTTATTTGACATGTCATATTCCCTGTTGATGACCTGAAAAGTGACGTAAAATAAATAAGCTATATATAAATAAAATTGGAGCGTCCGTTTGTAATATTGTAATAACCGTTTTGTATTATATGCATATGAATAAATACGGTTATGTACCGTATTTATATTCATATGCATGCACCAAAATAATATTTTTTACAATTTTTGTCTGTCTGTCTGTCTGTCCCGGCTAATCTCTGAAATGGCTGGACCGATTTCGATAGGACTTTTATTGACAAGTAGCTAATATAATAAGGAGTAACTTAGGCTACTTTTATTTTAGAAAAATAAAGCTAAATTTCACGCGGACAAAGTCGCGGGAACAGCTAGTAATAAATATTTATCTAGTAGAGCTCACTGTACCGGACCTAAAAACCATGCAACAAATGAAAACAAATATAAAGAATTAATAAACTAATTAACTTAAAATGACTAAGTGGTCAATTTATATGCAGTGAAGTGGTAGCGAGAGGTATACCAGCGAAATCTCTGCACAATCCTCTAAAAGATCTTGGCCTGTTTAGAACTGCAGTATGCTCTACTAGAACATGTGTTTATAGCACCATTAGTAGTTTTCTACCAGATTTGTATGGCAGGGAGAGAAACACGAGCGGTGAATGTGAGTGTTGACGTAAATCGATAATGGGATCCTTAAACCTACACTTGGGTCACAAATCCCGAGCACTCCTTGACGTTTCCCTCTCTGCCAAACAATAGAATGCTAAGAAGGTATCTCTATTAGTCATCACACAACATATTCTAATCTCTATGCAAAAAGTGGATTCTCTATATAAACCTTATCGGCATTGATTTCAATAAAAATAACTAGGTACTTACTTGCACGGATCTGTCTTTCTGTTGGAATTAGGACAATTCTGAAAACATTCACATTATTATATTTTAAAATAGAGAAATATATGTACCTACTTATATGAAACAAAAGGAAGATTTTTAACCTTCTTTTTTTTATAACATTTACAGAAAATAACATAAAAATCAAACTTAAAATTCATAGCGATGAGAATACTATCTGATTGTATAGGTTGAGTGCGTAACGATTCCGATGTTTATTGTCCCATGCCTAATCCTTATTAATGTTTAGTTACTTAGGAGCACATTTATTTAAAAGAGCAACACGCAAATTTCTTTTTTATTCTTGTGATGCGTCCACGTTCCGAATGAATGGTAGATAATAAAATTTTGATTATTCAAACTATTCTAAACTGCTTATATTACTTTTATTTGAATAACGATTATGTCTAGTCTGTTCTTTTCTATTTTATATTTATTATTACACAAAAACCTATTATTATAAAAACTAACCTCAGAAAGTACGTCCAAAGTGCAACTTAAAATCTTATTAATCTCGCACTTCCCTTCATAACCTAATAGAGGTTTGTGGAGACACTCGGTGATAACTCTTGCTTTAGCCTTCGACCACTTCGTGTGTGTGGTCGTGAAGTTATCCAGGAATTTGGTGTATGCGTCCAGGTCGACAGCGCCGGTGTCAGATAGGACAGACAGTTTGTTGAAAACGCAAGTCTGCTTCTCACACTGTAGGTAATTGTAAGAATTGTAATTATTCTTTCATCATTCTTTATTGTACACAAAACAGGAAAAATACAGTGATACAATAAATTTAATGTACAAGGACGATCTTATTTCTAAAAAGAGATATACCGTGTTAATACGTGAAGCAAATATTTTGTACCCCCTTTTTACGAAAATTGCGCGGACTAATATTGTTCTTAATTATTGCGTATAATACAGCATAAAATAACTTAGAGGCAATGTTAGCAAAGGCGGACTTATCTCTAGAAGAGATCTTTTTCAGTCAGTCCAAAATAGTGGCACAGGTAATAAAGTGGCTAATACGTGAAGAAAAACTTTACGAAAATTTAGCGGACGGAGAAGTATGAAATTTCACTCATTAACTTTAGTTATATATATATATATATATATATATATATAGTTATAATCTTAATAATATTCAAACTTATAATTGGACGACTACAACTAAGAATAGATATTCTTCAGTTTTTAATTAATTTAATGATAAACAAGCTGACGGTCCATCTAATGGTAAGCAGTACCCATCGCCTATATACGAGTACACAAACAGTACTACAGACATAACGTTGTCATGTGCCAGCTGTGATACCACCCATGCATTGCCAATTCAAAGGACTTGTCATGCCTATTATCCTGTAATTTCACAATCTAATCATAATCTGCAACCGAAACACAGTTTACAAAGCAAACTACTTGGCGCCTGAAACAGGTGACAGTTAGCTACCCACACAAATGTCTTCTTTTTTATCACCCGTTAAGAAAAAAAATTATAAAACCAATTTTCTTTTATTTTGGGCTATTGCCCGGTGCTGTAGCACTGCGATCTACATAGATCCTACATAGATTGTGCTCGTCCTTTTTCAAAGTTCGCTACGTCGGGGGCAAGAATCGAAGAATATTCTTAGGAGCGATGGTTTTTACCTCCTCAGGATAGAGTACTTTAATTATACTTTCCAAAGGAAATATTTCGTTCATGCATGAGTAGGCTACAACCACATAGGATGTGTAGTAGCGTTTCCTCTTCATCTTGGCAAATGTACTCTACATTGTACAATAAAGTTACTACGTGATATAATTAAAAAAATCTACAGATACTTACAGCGAGTGGTACCACCCGAATGTCATAATTCAGTGGTGGTGCTATAGTGGAGGTCGGAGTCGGTGTGGTGGTCACCGTCTGATTCTGGATGGTCAACCTGTTTACTTTGTCCCATTGTAATCGGAAGTTGCAATCCTGTCTCCACGAGGGTTCTATGAAGGTGCTCATGTCGCAACAATCCAATGGATCGATTTCTTGAGGCTGTATTTTTTTTAAATATAAGAGTCAACAGAATAACTGCGCTGTAGGTTTCTTTGTAGCTTTGAGCTAAGTTGATGGCCTATAGACTTTTTCGGTTCATAAAGCTAACTTCATTTCTTATATTTGTAAAATATTTTTTTCTGTACGTTACTTTCTTAATTACTTTTCTTCTTTAATTCACACAGCGCTATTTGTAAAATATTATATAGGTATATTTCTCCTCTGTAAATACGGTATGGGTGTTTTCTATGTATATAATGTATATACATAGAAAACACCCAGACCGATACAATCATACTCATGAATACAAATATTTGTACCGTGCGAGGTATCGAACCCACGACCATCGGTAGTAAAGCGGTGTACCAAACCGCTAGACCACTGAGGCCATCCGTCTATTAAATGTATACCACATCAATATATCTTTAATTGCAAATAAAATAATTGATTAGTTTGTAGGTGGAGCTGTGCTCTTGTAGGTGGACCTCCCGCCACCCTCCACGTACTTCTATCAGTCTTTTTAGTTTTTTTTGGTTGATTATATATAAATTACAAAAAAACTTACACTCATATCATCAGGATTCACAATATTAACAGCCAGTGGTGATAAATGTCTAGCGTTCACCTGAAAATTATTATTGGATGGATTATAATTGCAAACAAGCTGACGGCCCATCTAAATACAAGTGGTAACCGTCGTCTATGGTATATGGATACCATGAACAGCAGTATGGACATCACATTTTCCTGTGACAACAGTGATACTACTCAGTTGTTATTCCAGAGGATTATGTCATACCACTTTTCCTGTATATCCCATTCTGATTCCATATCCCATTCTGACTCTCCAACCAGGTAGAAGGGGATTATTAGTGATATGAACTCATAGCCCCATAGCAATGTACCATGTCAGGTTGAGCTCCATGTGCTTCCCCTTGATAACCATCGTGATAAATTCATAGTGATTTTACCACGATTGGCTAACTGACCTGATCTCATGCTCATCTTACCATCCTCCACTGGTGACTTACCAGATTAAACCGTTAGCGCAGATAGATGCACCATTCCATTATCATCTATAAGACAACCGAAGCAAAACTTACAAACCAAACTGCGTAGCGGCTGGTAAATAGTTAATCGTACTTATGAATATAAATATTTGCATTATAAGAGGATTCAAACCCGCGACTATCGAAAGTAATGCAGTGTACTAAACCTCTAAACCTTAGTGGTTTAGTACACTGCATTATTAGGCTTTCAAATATAATTAAGTACTATCTCATTACGTCTTGAACCTTTGAAGTGAAAAATCACGGTGTAAGGAAAGAATTGTTGTAATGATAGTGGCACAGTTCATACCTGAATATTGCTGGCCGGCACACCATTGTTCCTTGATGTATGCTCGTAATAATGTACAACGGACTCGAAGTCACATTCGTTCATCACGGTGGCATTAAACAGCGGCGGCAGGTCACAGCACTTAGACCCGAAATACTACAATGAGAATAATATAAATCAAAAGAAATCTTAACCAAGAAAGTATTTCTGAAAATTTACATAGTACATAGAAACGGAAAGTAATAATATATTAATATATCACATTTTTCTGTTCTATCCATAGGGAAAAAATAAGAAAATATGGAGATTTTTTCTTACTTTCAACTTGAGGCTGTACTTATAACACTTATAACTTGATTACCAAATCATTATGTAGGTATTTATTTATTTATAATATAATATTTATCTTATATTTATATTAGTGCAACGCCAACAATCTTTCTCTGCACCACTCATGGTTGACTGGTAGATAACGCCGCAAGGTAGTTCGCCATATGTACAAATTATTTTTGTGTATTGAAGTTAAATAAATAATATTATGCAAACAAATATATAAGAAAAAAGGCACGTATGCTGGGACACAGTAGAAGTGAAACTTCAACTGATAAATGGAAAAACGAATAGCAACAAATTTCTTACTTAAAGTTTTGGCAAATGTTAATGTACTTGTCCAATTTGTTCCGATATCCTCTCTATGCTTCTACCAGCCTTTCTGTTTCTGCCAATCACAACGTGATATATTATCTATACCCTTCACGCGACGGTAATGCTTATTCGTGACCAAAAAATCTTAATAATATTAGATATTTTTATAATAAAATATTATTATAAAAATATACAATATTATTAATTAATAATAATTATAATAATTTCACGACGCACCCAGGCGGTTTCTGAGAAGCAGCCGCCCTCCGGCCGGCTAGCAGGCCGGCCGGTAAAAGAACGACACTGGGGTGGTTCACCCCAGCAGAATGCCCGGGCAAGGAGCGCAAGCTCGGGGCCCGTACCCAGCGGTCCATAAAAGGATCAGCGGACGACCCGATTATATATATTAGATATTTTGGTTAGATTTTCGGTCTATATAGAAGTTTCACTTCAAAACTAGTTTAAACAAATTACAAAGACAGAGACCCCAAAAAACTTAAACTAATCATAGAAATTATTTTGGGTAACTAAAGATATATTGTTAATAAGCAAACCTTCTGTTGTTCTTCTGTTCAAAAAAGGCTGTTTTGACTGGATTACAAAATTAGAGTGACAATAACAGCTCCCATGCGTAGTCGTAATAGGTAGTTTTATGTTTTTAACGTATTAATATATTAGAACTTACGTGTTTTATCGTCCATTGTGGACCATTGATACTTAGTAGATTTTTCTCCAATTCTGCATAGCGGCTAAAAAACAAAATATTTGTTTTAACAAAAATATATATATAAAAAAATATTTTGTTGACGTCAAAATTTGTATATATTTAATAGAATTAGATGATATTTTGCGGAATTTCATTTCACTACTCGATGGATTCATATTATTTTGTTTAATTCCGCTACAATTCGTATGTGTGAGACCACAAATATTCGGTGTGGAACTTGACTACCATTACGACATTCTCTAATGGCGATCATTATTGAGTCTACACCCCACCGTTATTGAGTCCACACCCATATTTATACACGTGTTTTGCCTCTGAACGAGGCATCATCAGGCATTGAATGGAGTTCGGATATAGCTTGGAAGCCTAGTGTTGACTGTTCGGCGTCACGGTTTGGTCAGCCAACACTAGTCTTCCAAGCTATATCCGAATCAAAGTAATATAAATTCTTTAAGTAGTCAAATTTTGTAATAAGTTATTTCGCCTATTTCAGCCGCTAAGTAGCAAGTTTTGTAAGCTGTGATTTGGTTGAAAGGCTCGTGAATTTCTACGAGAAATAGCATAATCATCTTATTCCTCCGAAATTGCAACGCATAAGTATCACGGTTGTCACGATTCGTAAGGCATTTTTGGTTACTATGGTGCCGTATGGTTAATAAATTGTATCTCACCTTTGAGAGAACATATATTTCAATCCGGCATAAGATGTTACTGGCGAGCAAGAATCCGATCGTCTCAAACTGGAGTTTTTCTCTTCCATTCATCCCTGTTGGCAGTCATCGCGTTATTTACTTCCTTTCTTACCATATCATCTTTCACACAGGACAATGCCTAACCCCTTTTCATCATTAAGTAAATAAATTTAGAATTTGCAAGATAATACAAGATAGAAACTGCAAAGAAACTAATGACATCGGGTCGGGCGAACACAATAGATCTATAAGATTGAACGTCATGTTTTTGTTTTCATTATTTATATTTTATGTATTAATGGCTTAAGTACCATTTATTTATTAAGCGGCTAAAATATCCTACATGTATAAATGATTTTTTTATATTACGATGGTTCACGTGTGCATTGCCGACCCTTAAGAAACCTTAATATACCCTTCTTGACAAACCCCAGGCTGTGGTACTGCGAGTAAACCTCGCTAGGTAGTTCATTACACAATCTAAGTATACAATCTTTTGTTTTATTATTCATTGTATGTAATTTTAATGTTGGTGCAATAAAGGGATGACGCAGCTGGAATCGAGTCACAACGCGAGTTTCGGACGTTTGTGGCCCGGCCCCACCAACATGCTGCCCGCCTTCATGAAGGCCGAAGGGTGTGGTGTATCGGCGCTACCGTGGCAGATTGCCATCGACTCGACTCGACTCGAGTGCCGTGACCACACAGACAATATCAATATATTAGTTTTAATTCATACGAATGTTACTCCTAGTTGCATGAAATAAATAAATAAAATGAAAACAAATCAAACTAACCTCATACAAGTGATCCACCACACAATGCAGCAACGCCTGTCCAGGACACGTGTTACTATACGTCTTGGTCCTGGAGTTGTAGCACGCGTTGATGACTGGTTCAGCAACATCTTGCCAGGCACCTTCAGGCAGCAACGATCTGAGTGCAATATCGAATTGTTCTCGAGGTGGCAGATGGTTTGGTAAACCTAGCTTGTCGTTTATGCATTTCCAACGATGGCACTGAAAAGTAATAGAACAATATAAATTCACGACTGTTATCACAGATGGGGTTGATAGAGGTATTGCCAATTGAGATTATAAGCTCAACTCTTGTCTTACCCACATTTCACTAGGCGTATTAGAATCCAACGTGGCATTACCCTACCGCCATATTTCGGATTAATGCTAGTTAATTATTGGTGTTGCCATGATTAGAGGGTCAGTCAAAAATAAAGTAATAACAATAATAATACCCCTAGACAATTCATCAATGCCATCTAGACCCAAAATAAGCAGAGCTTGTGTTGTGTCTACTAGACAACTAGTATAAATATATGAATATATTTTTTTGTAAATACATATTATACATAAGAAACACTCAGACCAATACAAACAATCATATTCATTAATACAAATATTTGTACCGTGCGAGAAATCGAAATCGAACCTGCGACCATCGGAAGTAAAGTGGAATGCTATATATACCACTAGATCAAGTAGACGTCGGTTAAATTACAGAATAAAAATCGATGTTAACTGATAAATATGAGCAGGTATCTACATAGATGTATTTATAACATTCCGACGTATTACATAGTTAGTAGTGATTTCACAAGTCTCCAAAAAGCAAATCCTTTCTGTCATTTATGACTAAACGGTATCCTAATGAAATGTGCCATGAATATAAATCACTATAACAGACTATTTATTATAAAACAATCAAACAGTTGCTAGTAACAGCTCGTAAAGAATAAATAGAGATATTAAACATACAGTTGCAGTAACAACAAAATTAATCAGTCGTATCGACCAAAATAAATAAACTCAAAAGTGATGCAAAATAATGCTTCCTCTACGGTTAATATTTATGTAATCTTCTTCAACTTTTAACGAATTCTAAGATAAATTATGTTATTATCGTAAATATAATTGTCATCATGTTTGATTGTCACGTACCTATATATTGGGGTCACAAGTGATTATATACGTATTTCTGACAAATACTACAACTACTTAAACATCTATACAAATATATAAATTTGAAGTGTCTGTTTGTTACTCCAAATTAACATAAACTAGCTGACACGCGCAACTTCGTATGCATCACACTTGATATTTAATCATTATACTAGCTTTTGCCCGCGGCTTCGCTCGCGTTAATTTATCCCCTTAAAGGTGGAATTTATCAAAATCCTTTCTTAGGAGATGCCTACGTCATAGTAGCTTTACGCATGCAAAGTCTCAGCGCAATCGGTTTAACATTGACAAAGTTTCATACAAACTTTCATCCCCTATTTTATCCCCTTGGAGGTAGAATTAATGAAAATCCTTTCTTAGCGAATGTCTACGTCATGCATGCCAAATTTCAGCCCGATCCGTCCGGTGATTTAGGCTGTGCGTTGATAGTTCACTATGTCAGTCACCTTTGAGTTATATATATTTAGATTTCGCCCAATTTGCTTTATCTTAGTAAATTATAGCCTATATATTCTTATGTTGTATAAGCTATATTACTGTAAAACTTTACAAAAATCGTTCAGTAGTTTTCTCGTGAAAGAGTAACAAACATCCATTCATTCATCTATCTGTAAATACTCATATACTTTCGCGTTTATAATATTAGTAAGATATATACTACTTATAAGTAAATAATAACTTATATTAATATTAATATCCAATGTTTTCCATCCGTGTCAAACTTGGTTTTTTCAGAGTCAGATAAAGCTGTTTGTTTAACTCAATTTGATTGTTAAAATACTAAAGTAGTTGAGATTAGACAGATACGTGTAAATGACTTCGTAGTTTTTGTAATTTATGATAAGGAAATGATGCATCCGCTAAGGGTATATGTTGCAAACATATTTTAACTATTTTATTACTCATAGAAAAAATGCAACTGAATATATAACTATTGAGTTATGTGTCTTTCACGTTACTTGGTGACAATTCGAATTTTGAATAAGACTACGTCACAGTCTACGCTAGCGATGCACCAGCGGAGAATGATAGGATGAGCTGTTTTAAGTTTGACGCGGTCATTATTTATAAGTATAATTAGTAAATCAAGGGATCTTACCACCGGGAAGATGGCTATAGACTATCTAATGCTTGGAATCCAGTGATTGGTTTAATTAAACGAAAACATAAAACGCGATCACAAAGTGTATTAAGACGTGAAGATACTGTGAGTATAGTTTGCTGAGATGAATATCGAGCGAGAGATAGTAGCAACAAACGAAGACGTGTGAAGGTAGACGAATATGTCTGCCTATAAAATATTTATTTACCGTCTACCCGCTGCTCTTCAGTTTACCTGTGATCATGGCAGTTGAAACACTGCCGAAATATCGGGAACTCAACAAAAATAAAACGTGGTAAGATCCCGTGATTTAAATTTTACTCATAAATGATCATCCTGAGTATGGAATTAGGTCAGTTAGCCCATCGTGACAAATTAACCAGGAACTTATCATGATGGTTTCCAAGGAGGAGTTCTCAAAGACTTTTTGTTATCACTCTCTGTTGAACATGACAATATACATAAATCTTAATAATATTTTAAACGCGAAAGTTTGTAAGTATGGATGTTTGTTACTCTTTCACGCAAAAACTGCTGAACGGAATTTGATGAAACTTTCAGTAATATAGCTTATGCATCAGAATAACACATAAGGTATATTTTATATTTAAATTTAACGCGGGTAAAACCGCAGGCCACAGCTAATAACTTATAAGTATTTAACAATCGAATTTATATTCAAATATAGGTAATTGGTAGGGAGGAGAGGTGGACTGTTATAGAGGTGATTATACGGGGCTTGTGGTACTATTTCTAGGAATGTACCCTATCACGTTGACCTCCACACGGTGCCCTCTGGAAACCATTACGCTTGATTCCTGATAAATTAACAATTTGCTAACTGACCTGACTTTATCTTCATCTTATTAACTGGTACACCGTCAGCTTTAACTGTGTGCAGGCTGGTGCGTCATTCCATTATCATAGACAAATAATGTATAGGTGGGTATACTCACCAATTGCCCACCTGTCAAAAATGGGGTACCAAAATTTCTCTGCGCCAACACCTGCAACTGAAACATATTTATTTATTTATTTATTTATATGCACACAGTACAAATTACAGTAACAGTACATTTGTAGTACTTCTTCTATTCTATTGTCAACCGTCAACGTTATTGTGAACATTTATCACTCTCACATTTAGGAGGTGGCAAGCTTATCGTCTCCACTCGGATAAATTTGGTAGTTTGTTATCGGTATTTCCATCAACGGAAAGTTAGTGGCTTTATATAAATTCACACAGAAAGTTTTTTGGGACCATCCAAATTTAGGATATATTTTATAGATTCTCGACACTACTTACTACAAAATTTTTACAAAAAGATATTTTATCTATTTCTTTCAGTTTTCTAGTTCCCACAATACAAGTTCTGCTTAGCTTGGAACTAGATGATGCTGTGCAAATGGTCCAACATCATTATTATTATTATTATTTGTTTATCTAGTACGTTTATTTATACTACTTATTTGTCAGTTATTACACTGATTATTTCCTTTTGATAAAATTGCATTAGCATATGCTGGTGTTCAAGCTACTCTCCTAAATTTGAATTTAAAAATGAATCTGTATTTTTGTAAACATGTACCTACAAGCTCAGTTGAAAAGAATACGAACTGAGTTTCTTGTCTGTTCTTTTCAGTTCGAAAGCACTCCAAACTGAAGGTAGAATTGACATAACATAAAGAGTCTATATTCGACCTACAAGAATAAAGATATTTTGATACAAAGAACGTGAATTAGAGAATTTATTCAAATCGATACAAATTAAAAAATTTAAAAAAAACTGCGTTTCAGTTATTTGCGCCCATCTCCAGAGCAATGTACATTGTACAATTTAAATAAAAACAAATGAATATTACTTCTTAAAGACACTATTTCGTAATAGACAACCTATATAAAATAATATATGAATTTACTGCCAATCATTTATAAGCTGTCTCGATTGTAAGAGTGAGATTGGGAACTGAAAATACAAACATAACTTATTCTTCAGGATTGATAACGCATGAAAGAGGTCACAATGTATTTTGTGACGTCAATGATTCGGTCCGCGTTACCGATTTTCGTGAGCTAAGCCGTCATCTCATTATTCTAGTTAGATAAAAAATTACTTTAAGTAAACATACTATAAAAAAATATATTATGCTGTACTTTATTATAAGAGATGTATACAAATAAATACAATTGAAGTGGCTGTTTCTAATTTCAAATATTTGCTTCTGGCTTTTCACTGAAGTAGGTGTAATATAATAAATAATAATAATTTTTTGATGTAAGTACTTACATAATATAAATGTTAAAAAATATTTTTGAGTTATGTTTGTTCTTACTAATCTCTGAATCGGATCTACCTATTTTGATGAGAATTTCACTCGCAGATAGGTAATGTTCCAAGGAGTATTTTAGGCTACTTTGATTCTAGAAGTTTTATTTATTTTAATACAAAAAACTTTAAATACACACAGACATAGTTGCGGGTAAAGCTAGTATATATAAAAAATATTAGAGGGCGGAAGGAGATTGTTAATAATGAGGATTAGTGATTGTATTGCGATCCATTGCTTGGTTGGTCGACCCCCACGCGGTTCCCCCTGGAAACCTGTTAAATTCCTGGTTATTTAATCACGATGGACAAACTGACCTAACCTCATCCTCCACTAGTCCCAACGTAAACCGTTAGCACAGACAGCGGTGTTAGCAACCATATATTGTTATCATCAATTTAAAAAAAATCTTACCGAATGCAGAAGCAAACAAAAACACACAAATCTGATGTTCATCGTGAGAACATTCAAGAACAACTAACATGTTGATATCGTGATGGGCACAACTCTACGGTCATAGGTCACAGATAAACTTTTTAAATTTTGCGTTGTACGGATAACGACGGTGACCCCAGTTAAAATAGAATGAGGCAACCGTGGGGAAACAATCTTTAAGGACTGCGCAAACGACGGACTGTCCTCTGCATATTTTTTCTCACCGACAGGACGGTGCGAATACCTTGTGCGAAATTTAGAAGCGTCTTTGTAGTCGTACCTATTTATAATAATAAAAAATACCAAGTACTTGCAGTAGAATCAAAAACACAATGGCTTGCCATTGTGTTAATTGGCATATTAATACTCAATACTCAATATTTATTGCATTCCATAATGTTACAGTGATAAATACCTGTTCATAATTGGTTTTAGATCATTATTTTTATCATCATCATTATAATAATTATTCCTTTCCTAGGGCACGTAAACTTATTAAATTATTAATGTAATTAATTATGACATATATGTAATTTAATATTATTCACACATTCATCTATTAATTAAATATTACAATATTGTAAAAAAACTAAAGTAAATAAATTGAAATAATATTTTATAAATAGGCTAACCTTAGTCAAAGTTCATATAAAAGTTGGGAGTTGGTAAAATATTTTAACAGATGATACAGGGCCACTAGAATGTAATTTGTACTATTGCGCGTAATATTGTACCTATTCTGCTCTCCTATACGTATCCCAAAACACTTCAAATTCTTTGGATAAACTAAACATACATCCTACTAAAACATATTTGTTACAGATAGCCACAATTCTGAACATTTGCGGCATCTCTAGAAGATTTTTAATTTCCTCAGTTATAACATCTTCTCAGGGTCAATATTACCTTTTAAACCAAATGAAAGAAAAAAAGAGAAATAATAATAACACAATACACATGCCTCTATAATCGTATAATTGTCTGTACAAGTACGCAGAAAACAAAAGACAAATTAGTCCTTTACAGACTAAAGCGATTACACTCTATCATCTGCGTAGACCAATTTGTTTATTCTGAGAGCGGCGTACGGTATTTTTTTTATTACTCTTAATGTTAAGTGGTGACTGTATACATATATGAATTTATACGTCTAATTCCAGATAACTAAAATGCCTCTTATGATATTAATTTTACTGCTGGTGGTGTAAACAGTAAAAAAACACGAACTGCATTTAATTTTTACAAAAATTACGCGATTCCACAATAATTGCACTCGTGCAAAGTCTGGATCGCTAGTCAGCAATAACTAAAAACATGCTTTCTTCCTCTATCTTTATAGGAATACCGAATGAAAGACGAGTGTGGTCTAACATAATTTATTGGACATTCCATAAATAAAAAGAATACATAAGCAGCCGCTACTTAACAAAATAGCAAACGACAGTGTTTCAGCTAAGATCCAGTGACTTTTGTGCCGACATACTTACTAGTCAATATACATACATATACAGGGTTACTCGGATAGGATATATAGCCACTATCACTGTAACATTACTAACTAGCTATGCCCGCGTTATATTTCAATATAAAATATAGCCTGTGTTATTCTGACGCATAAGCTATATTACTGTAAGCAAATTTTTTATACAAACATACCATATATGCATATTATTAATGACTAATTGATCCCACGTGATGTTTCTGAAAGTAACTTATTATTCATACAAAAATAAAAATGTATTATTTCATTTCATTCCATTACAAAGAATCGACAACCCTATTCTTTAGTATTTAACCAAAAACAGTCGACTTTCTTGATTAGTGGAGTAAGCAGGGAGCATAACAAAGAAAGAACGACACGACTTTTTATTTATAAGAACTATCAATGTTACATATTTTCCTATTATGATAGAGCTGATTACAGCTAATATTAGTGGTGTCTTTAGTTTATTGTGTTTTTATATAAGTTTTAAACTGATTTTCCTCGAAAAAATTATATGGTTTCAGAGAAAGTTGTAGAACAAAACTTGTTCGTTACAATAGATACTTTCATATCTTTCCGAGTAACCCGGTATATGAGACCCAATTAAATGCAAAAATAATTCGATTGTAGCTCAGATAAAATATACAAACAAGATTGAAATGTGAAGGTACATAACACTTTAGCGTTAATGTCCAAACCATACATTATATTTGACCTATAAGCCTGCCAGTCGTGTGGATTGCAAGTAGATTTATTTAACTTCATCGTAGTTTTCATATAGCAAATGTATTTCATTTTTTACAACCAGTAATTGCAATTGGGCGGGATGCCAATATCTTCATATCACTTATTGTAAATTGAACCTGAAAACAAAAAAATATATATATAAATAAGTAGCTGTCCCGGGAAAACATTTTTTTTGCCATATAAATTAAAATCGCAATTATTACAAAATAATAGGGGTTGATAGTAGAAGGGTGAAAATTCTGTATGTATTTTTTAATTATTATAAAAAAAAAATGCCTAATAAAAAATATTTTAAACCCATTCTCAAATCTACCCAATATGCAAATATTCTGGTGACCCCTTGTGTCATAGAAAACCAAAGAAATTATTTAAATTTAATTATTTAATTAAAAGCCTACAAACGTTAGTTAAGTAAAAATTTGTTTTTATTTTGGTGCATTTATCTATTATTCACGCGGGGCACACTACGTCGGCGCCGGCGACGTTGGTATATGAACCTCGACTTTTCTTTCAAACGACGACCCAACGAGTAAGGCTTCGCAACCCCCCAAAGGGTCTGGACCCACAGATTGAAAAACACTGATCTAGATAATTGTGTCATATCCATAACTTACCTAAATTGTCTAAGCGTGTTTGTAACAGATCAGAGGAATGCCCCAAAACCGAACGCACGTTTAATACTGTCAAAGTAGTATCGCCGCCAATTTTCTTTAGTTTGTTCTACTTCTGAAGCTGGGACCAGAGCTTGTTTCAATGTCACCAGTGTATGATCATCCTGTAAAATAAAGTATTTAAATTTATTACCTCATAATTTTCATTAGTAATAATATACCTACATTTAAATATTTTTTTGGTAGCCATTACCCCATCATCTTATATAACTAATAAGAAACGGATCACTACACAATTTATTTAGAAAAAAAGAATAATTTGACGTGTATATTTCCCAAGAGCTCTCTTGCGGGATATTTACTTGACTATTCAAAAATGCTTATATTAAGTTTATTTGAATAAAGATTATTTCTATTTCTATTTCGGCGTCGTTTCAACCTTCATGATAACGGGTAAACTGGAGAGCGGCGGGTAGATGGTAAATAAAATATTTTTTTATGGGCAGACATATACGCGTCTACCTTCACAAGTCTTCGTTTGTTGCTACTATTGAAAAATAATAAATATCGGGAACTCAATAAAAATAAAACGTAGTAAGATTCCGCTATTATTAATTATACGTGTAAGATAGTTCCTGTCATATGCCAATATACAAAGTTGTGACACATTTATAACATTACAAACCCACATTTCCCCACGTGACTGGGAAATATTTCTTTACCGAGAATTTTTCTATGTTATATTGCCAAAACGATAGTATGCTGTATTTATAGTACAGTTAGGTTCAGAACTTTTATCTATACATCTATACATATAAATAAAATCGGAGTGTCTGTTTGTAATATTGAAATAACAGTTTTATACTACATGCATATGAATATAAATACGGTACATACACCAAAATAGCATTTTTTATAATTTTTGTCTCTGTCTGTCGGTGTGTTTGTTCTGGATAATCTCTGAAATGGCTGAACCTATTTTGACGGGACTTTTTATGGCAGGTAGCTGATGTAATAAAGGAGTCACTTAGGCTACTTTTATTTTATAAAATTAAGTTAAATTACACGCGGACGAAGTCGCGGGAAAAGCTAGTATTTTAATATAGTTCATATAAATTACATTCAATATGTTAAATTAACAGTTATTATATTAAAATTATCGTTTCCTGTGGTCTAGAGGTTAAGTACACCGCGTAGTTCCGATGGTCGGTGATTACATTTTTCACACGGTACACGGTATAAACTTTTGAATTATTGTTATAGTGGGGTTGTTTTTACGGATTTGGATGTTTTTTATGTATATTATGTATGTGTTTATATCAGTTGTCAATACCCTTAACACAAGTTCTGCTTAGCTTGAGTTTAGATGGAGCTGTGTGAATTGTCATGTGGTATTGTACCCCGGCTACCAGCTGTGTGAGTTGTTTATGTATAAGAATTGTCTGTGTGAAGAGGAAACACCACTACCTGTGTGGTTGTAGCCCACTCATACATAAACGTAATACCTCCTATGGAAAGTTTACACTGTATTCTGAGATAAAAACCATTGCTCCTAAGAATATCCTTCAATTATTGACCCTAACGGGTTGAGGTAGCAAACTGTGAAAAAGGTCGAACACAATAGATCTATGTAGATCGCAAGGGCTACAGGCACCTGACAATAGTCCAAACAACTCAATAAAAAAAATCAGGACTATCAGCTAAAGTTGAAGTAACTTAATGTAGTTGTATTAAACTTATAGCAAATTCTCACCTTCTCATTTATATCAAAGGTAACTTCAGAGAAATGCTGATCAGGCCATTGTTTATATCGCCAGTACTGCACTATTTTCTTCCCGGGAACCAACTCCCGGAACTCCCCGGTGATATTCCCGCCAAACAGTGCAAATTTACCTCCTTTCTCTACCTCCATCTTGACATGTCCCTAGAAATAAAAAAATGTACTTTATATATTCAATTGCTTAAAAAGAAAACAAGGGCGTCAGAAAAAGAGATAAGGGCAGCGGCTGGACAAACATAGACAAGGAAAGCATTGGACAAAGGAACATGGAGTCTTTTTTTTTATTATTATACATTGGACCCTGTACTAGGCGAACCTGTATCGCGGGAGTCTATTGGAGGAGGCTTAGGTCTTAGCACAACCTGAGGAACCTAAGAAGTGAAATAACAATAAACAAAAACAACATTAACTATCAATATAAAATATATACTTACTTGAGTAAATGCTGTAACCATTTCTATTCGAGTCATTGCATTATAAAATTCTTCAGCGCGACATTGGAACTTTTCTGACATTTCAATACTCTTTGTATCTAACTTACAACCAATCTGTTTGTTCTCCTGCGTAATCACAGGCTCCATGTTAATTTTTTTATTGAATCCGCTGGTGATTGTCGAGACATTGTCTGGTTTCACTTGCTTTTCACCTTTTTTGGGAAGTATTAGGCCTTTAGAGAACTCTTCTTTGAGACTTCTTATATACTCTGTGAGTTGCTTGCGGATTTCGTTTCGACCCACATTGTGCATGAATGCCTTCACTCGTTGGGCCTCATCACCACTACATTTAATTGTTACAGTCATCTGAAACATTACGAAAAAAAAATATTTCAATTAAAAATGTTAAAAGTTAAACTCACACCCTGATTTGTAAGTAGGATGTGAATATATAAATTTATAATAGATATCTTATTGGATTAAATATTAACTAATTATAATAATATGTATTTATACATATTTTATTATTATATTTATTTAGTAGCTGACTAAATAAAGATCCGCGCGATTTCTCCTTGCATGAAATAAACTTTATTTTATTGTTAAAATAAATAAAAGTCCCCAAGTTACTCCTTTTAACATTAGCTATCTGTGAGTGAGTCCCATCAAAATCCTTGCAGCATTTCATAGTTTAGCAATAAGGAACAGACAGACAACAATAATAATATAATCAATTGATTTTAAAAAATTGATGATATCTTAACCTTTCAAATGTTAGTTGTCAAAATGACTATAATGCCTCACCTGTGATACCAATTACAGGACTTCTCACAGATGGGGCTATAGTGTCAGAGTCCAAATTGGCTTCTTCACAGATGAGAGGATATAGTCTGTCTCTTATTATTTTATTCCTTATGAATAGGTCCTTTAGAAACAAATCTCTACTGTTACTGACGTTAAAGAAAGGATATTATGTAGACATTGCAATTCAAATTGTATATTAATGTATGTATCTGATGTATTTGAATTTCAATGTTGCATACATACATTTTTATACAAAACTGAATTTCAAAGTATATCAATAGTAAGAAGCAGATACAGTGCAATTTTGATACAACAAATCGGATGAGATCATGTTATATTTGTTACATTGTTAAACAGAGTTTTGTTATATTGATGTAAAATTGGTCTTAGATTTGTTATACATTATTATGTACATTTGTAACATGGAGAAATTTGTTAAACAGAGGTTTGTTATACTGAAGTTAAATTGGTCTTAGACTTGTTATATTGTAGTTACACATATTATTATATATATGTATTTGTTATAATGAGTAATTTGTAAACTGAGGTTTGTTATATTAAAGTTAAATTGGTCTTAGATTTGTTATACCTGTTGCACTGCAGTTTTATTGGCCTTAACATTACATACTCATCTTGTTATAGCTACTATAACTTCTAATAAACAAAAACACATTTTAAGCAAATTAATGTATGTATTATCCATTTCACTAACTAAACTAGAACCTGTCAGGACATGAATCACACACTATGGGATTTAAGGGTCATTTATTCTTCATTCTTATCTACCTGGAAGATGTCCACTGCTGGACAAACGCCTCCCCCAAAGATCTCTATTCATTTATTAGTGGGAACATTATTATATTAAAGTTACACTACAATTCATTTTAAATACTCAAAATATTCCTTTTTATTCTCTTTAATCCAGTCATTATTTTATGTTTCATGAATGGCAAACAAGTTGACAGTGAAGTATTTACATAAACAGCACCATGGATATCATATCATGTGTTGCCATTACAGGGGAATAAGTATGATGCCTCCATATATGTAATTCATCATATTTATATAACTATCATATCTAACTCTAAACCAAAACTGTGTGATAGCCAAAATAAATAAAACTGTGGTACCACTGCAAATGGCCTTGTGTAGTCTAAAATGGTAAGATTATTAACTTTTCATTTATAACAATTTACTGCACGAACATTGAAAGAACATAAATAAAATTAAAAGGTTAAAAATGAGACTAAGTACTAAAAAGGCTCCTTATCATTAATGCAATTTCTTACAGAAAATTAATTTAAAAAAAAATTAGTATTTACAATAAAATACACCTTTTTAATAGGTCTATACTTACATCTACTTCACTGACGTCATTTTCTTCCGATAGATTCGGAATATGAATATCACCTTTCACAATATCACTACCTCCAGTCAGCTTTCCTTCCCACTTCAGTTTGATGTCCCATTCATAGAAAAATATTAGTTTTCCTTTCCTATTATTCGCCGACGCCTCGCCGTCTAATTTCTCTAATTCTGTAATTTTACAGTCAACACCGTTTTGGGTTATTTTCAAGTTATTTAGCAGTTCTTTTAGCCTGTCCTTCGACCATGGTCCCGCGTTTTTCTCTGTCCAATGCCAGTTATTTACGTTGGTAGCGTCAGGTCGCTCCTCAACTATCCAGCGAGGGTCTCCTTCGCCCCATTTGGCCATGTTCCACGCGATCTAAATATGCACAATGACTGATGATTCAATGATTAGACACAATTGAGTATGACCGTGTGTTCTTATATGATAAGAAATCCGCAGGAAGATGTAATGCTGTTAATCTTCGCACAGTACAGTCAGAAAATCAAATAATTCGCTCGATATGGCTGTGAACGATCAGTAAAACTCTCGCTTCGAGAAAAATCGAGCACGAAACAAACCATGCTATCACATCAACTTTGACAGTTGACAGATCTGTGTTTCCATATTTGAGGTATAAAGTTGCACATGTTACGTGAATTAACAGTTAGGGAAAATAAATTCACAAAAATAATGATTGAAATTTTGTTATAGCTAATAAATTATAAAAGATGATTTTTTATTATAAAAATATAATGGGAAATATTTATGTAAATCTCTTTTCAGTAAAAACACGGTAAAAATGAAGAATAGACAAAAGGAAAAACGTTTGAAAGGATGTTTAGAAGACTAAATTTAAAAAGTGAGATATAAACCAAAATATAAAAAACTTCAAACAATATGACGACAATTTAAAATATCATTATTAAGCTAAATATCACAAATTAATAAAATTTGTTTATTACAAATATGCATTAATTTGAATGTGAAATTCACATATGGAAAAGGATTTTTTTAATTTAAAACAGTGCTTATGTAAATATATACTATGCTGGTATTTTATTATTATGAACATATAAAGAAAAATAAACGTTACAGTGTTATTTCATTAGTTTTTCTGAATCAAAATATTTTTATATGTTTACTACAATACAATTTCCGTTGTAGTAGAAATAAACGGCACAATTTTATGAAACTATACCATCAATTACCAAGCTATTAAAATAAATACAAGTATATTATTTTATGGTGAACATAATCCAGTGAGTATAAATACGTCATACCGGCACTTCAGCCCACTACCTATATTGTTGGTAAATTGTAGTAATCTGGTAATACTGAGTAGTTTCTGTACGTTTCTAGAAAATTGTACTGCCAACATAATGGAAACATCCGGATGAGTTCAATAAACGTTCCGTTATAAGCATACTACAATACAGTATACGACACATAGAAACATGCAGTTATTTTTTATCTATTGTACGGATTGTATTAATGGAGCTTAGGCTAAAATATCATTCACAATATAAAAATAGTAATAAAGTTATTACGTTTCTTATTTTATATGTTGTCTTTAAATATAAATATCTGCAGTAAGATCCCGTGTAAGTTTTCTTCACACTATCTCTATAATAATATAATAAATGTGTATGATAATTTATTAGACGGATAGAGACTCAAATTCTCATTACTAAGAATCCATTATCAACTAGTTGGTCGTAAGTTCGATTTTGGTTAAAACATTTTTTTAAATAATAAAATTTGTTTGCTGTTCAGCTAACATTGCCTGATTATGCGGCACGTCTTATGACACGTAAAGTACCAACATAAGCATAAGCTGGAATATCTGAGGCTGAATTTTCAATAGAGAATCACCTATCACGAGATTTAACATGATCAACAAATCTGTTTATAGTCTGAAAGACTGATTGCTTGATATAAAAGAAAAAAAAATTGTGAGGAACTCTTTGTCTAACACATGTAAAAACCGAAACAAATGGCAAAGAAACAGAAGCTGCCCTTCTCACACTGGATTCGATTACATTGTTAAGCAATAGATGACAATGTCTGTTTTTAACATTGCATACCGTTTACCTATCTACCTTAGGTGGACCTCCACGCGGTTCCTCCTGGAAGACATCATGTTATATTCCTGGTGAAATTACCAGGATGGGCTAGCTTACCTGACCTCATACTCATCTTATCATCCTCTACTGGTGCCCCTCCAGCCGTTAGCGCAGGCGAAAGCACCATTCCATTATCATCTCTTAAAAAATGCATACCTATCGGCTGAAGGGGAAAAAGGGGCCAAGGTCACTATTCCACGCGAACGAAGTCGCGGGCACAGCTAGTTTGGCATATTTATACAGTATAGAATAAAATGAAAAATGTAACGATTTTATACCTGTTGCAAAAACAGATTTCAGCTCGATAAAATGAACACAAGGCCAGTATATGTTAAATAAAGCAAGAGTTGATCAGAATCAGTTCAGCAACTTACACAGCCTATTTTGAAGTCGGTTAACGACTTAGTGAATAAACAAGCCACACTGGCATGGAACCATTCATCATCAATTGGTCGAAACTCGTTATCTCGGTGCGAGTGAGATAATATAAGGCTCTCAAATGGCCTCCAATACTATTGAAATCATTCAAACCAGTCTGTATTCTAGACGGCAAACGCCGGCGCATGCACGTCTACACGCGCGGTAATTACAAATAGATATAATAAAACAATGTTCCCATTACGGCGTATCATTGGCAGCAAGGTGTGTGTGTTCAAGTGCATTAAAAGTTTAATTTAAAAATAAAGTGGCGTTCGATATTTGAAATTGCGGTTTTGCAGATACTGGAGCAATGGCGCGCTCCGGCAATGGCTGGCGCTGGTTCCAAACAAATGAAGAGCTACAGCTCAGAAGCATCAACGCCACGACCTTTGACCACGTTGACCGATGATGAATTGGCGATGAAAGACACAAGTAATTTTAATCATTAAGTTCACTTATTAAAAAGTTAATAAGCAAACTAGTTTAGAGCAGATAACTAATCTGCTTAGATTGCCAGTTTATAATTTAGAATGCTTTTTTGTAATTTATCTTAGATTGAATCAGGTATCTATTATTTTTCTGTGGTAGTATATCTTAACTTAAAATATTATAACGGTGCAATTATAATATAAGTTTATTATATCTACAAGATGGTGTGGGAAACCATACTTGCATTGGTTGTCGCCATTGACATATTATCAGCTTACGTGTCAAATCAACTGTAAACTATTATTTCATGGGAATGAATTATAAATAGGTCCTAAAAAAATGTATAGGTAATTACGAAAAAATATTTAACGATTTAATACGTAGATACTTATTGTAAAATGTATTGATGTAACATTATTTTTAAACTTAGGAACTTATTTTAATAGTTGTGGGATGAATCTGATACAGTCCTGTTTTATAAAATCGGTTATATATATATATCAATTATATAACACTTATTTCCTTATTATTTACAAATTCAATGAATGACATGAATTTTATTGATCAGAAATTTATTTTTATTCTTCATTTATTGTAGAATTACTTCATTGTCACTAATGAAGTAATTCTACAATAAATGAAGAATAAAAATAAATTTCAGATATGACATTCATCTCAATAAAAATAAAAACGTTGTAGGATAGATCCCGTGATTTACTAATTATAAGTACCTATAGATTTCAGAGTTATCTATGCCTTTTAAAATCGGCTAGTATTTTATGCAACTTTGTATGTAGCCTAAAACAGATGGACAGTATCTAGGTATTTCAATTGCGTTGCCTTGAAATGGATGCATTGCATTGCATTCCAACAATAGAAATAGAAATAATCTTTATTCAAATAAACATAATATAAGCACTTGAATAGTCCTATTTTTTATTCTACCACTCATTAGGAACACAGACTCACAAGAAAAATAAGCAATACCATGTTGCTTTTTTAAATAAATAAATAAATGTTGTTCAGAATTACATTTTTTAAGAGTTTTGTGTTAATACATACTGCCAAATAGCAAAGTCGACATAAATAAATAATTACTTGATTAACAAACAAATCGGTCTGTTTCAATGTATTTACAAATATTGAATCTTCCTTATTTGTAACACAAAATACAATTATTTATATGGTGATAATTGGTAGTACAAATTAAATTTTGAACACATTTAGGAACGGCCCTTATTCGGAATCTAATGGATGTTGCCCAAATGTCATAGATAGGAGAGTAATATTGGTTTCCAATTGTTTGTATACACTAGTGGCTCGTCCTGCCTTCTTCTGATTCTCATAACTTTGCTAATTCAGTACCTATAACTTACTAATATTATAAACGCGGAAGTTTGTAAGTGTGTATTGTTTTCTATCGTGACGAACTATAATATTTACCAACATTAATAACAATTTAAACATTCTATTGCAACTAGGTATCCGGCTTATAGAAATTATTGAAAGAAACCCGTCTTTGTATAATGACAAGTAAACAAAATATTATATAACTATTCAAAAATGCTTATATTAAGTTTATTTGAATAAAAATTAATTCTATTTCTATTTTCTCCTTATAGTATTAGTGTAAATTTCTATATTGTGCCTGGTTGTTTGTCGCCACGGGTATTTTAAATAGTTTAATAGATTTTAATGAAAGGTCGTTACAGTTGTCTCCGGAATGCTATACATACACATACATAACAACAATATCGACAGTAAACATTTTTTAACAACTATATTAAAACACAACTGGATATATTTATAAAATACTAGCTGTACCCGCTACTTCGTTCGCGCAGCGCACACAACAGAAGCCCTCAAATATCAATAATGTTCCCCGTTTTCGCAACATTTTTCATTGATGCTTCGCTTCTATTGGTCGTAGCGTAATGTTATGTAGCTTAAAGCCTTCCTCGATAAGAAGAATATCCGGTCCTGTGAACTTGGCACACGATATTCAAAAATCGACTTTTTTTTTTAGAGTTCTGACATCCTTTTGAATAGTTCTAGAGTTCTTTATAATCATTTTAAATAGTTCCGATGTTTAAATTAAAAAAAAACAAATTTTAAAAAATCGTGCGCTAAGTTCACGCGGCGCACGAAATCACGAAAATCACAAATTTCTTCGGAGTTCTAGCTTGCTTTACAATAGTTCTACAGTTCTCTATCAGTTATATCAATAGTTCTAGCGATTAAAACGAAAAAATCGATTTTTGAAGTTTCGCCGCGTCCAAATTATAATTCATATAAGAAAAGATCAATTTCAGACGCGAGTTCGAGCCGATCTGATAATAGTTCTGGGCAGCATTCTCCAAGTTCTACAGAAAAGCTTCATAACTTTTTCCTGGAAATAATTATTTTGCAAGTTATTGCAAAAAATATAAATCTACAAAAAAAAAAAATTACGAGTTCCAGCTGATCTGATCGGAGTTCTGGGTAGCGCTACCTGAGTTCTATCGAAAAGTCTAGTAACTTTTTCCTGTGAAATAATTATTTTCCATATTATCGTCATTTTTAACTTTTCAAGGCTGACTTATAGACTTTTTTTTACGAGTTCTAGCCGATCTGATCGCAGTTCTGGGTAGCGCTACCTGAGTTCTATCGAAAAGTCTAGTAACTTTTTCCTGTGAAATAATTATTTTCCATATTATCGTCATTTTTAACTTTTCAAGGCTGACTTATGGACTTTTTTTTTACGAGTTCTAGCCGATCTGATCGGAGTTCTGGGTAGCGCTACCTGAGTTCTATCGAAAAGTCTAGTAACTTTTTCCTGTGAAATAATTATTTTCCATATTATCGTCATTTTTAACTTTTCAAGGCTGACTTATAGACTTTTTTTTTACGAGTTCTAGCCGATCTGATCGGAGTTCTGGGTAGCGCTACCTGAGTTCTATCGAAAAGTCTAGTAACTTTTTCCTGTAAAATCATTATTTTCCAAATTATCGCCATTTTTAACTCTTTAAGTCTGACTTATAGGAGATTTTTTTTTACGAGTTCTAGCTGATCTGATCGGAGTTCTGGGTAGCGCTACCTGAGTTCTATCGAAAAGTCTAGTAACTTTTTCCTGTAAAATCATTATTTTCCAAATTATCGTCATTTTTAACTTTTTAAGGCTGACTTACAGGAGATTTTTTTTTACGAGTTCTAGCTGATCTGATCGGAGTTCTGGGTAGCGCTACCTGAGTTCTATCGAAAAGTCTAGTAACTTTTTCCTGTGAAATAATTATTTTCCAAATTATCGCCATTTTTTACTTTTCAAGACTGACTTGTAGGAGAATTTTTTTTTTGACGAGTTCTAGCCGATCTGATCGGAGTTCTGGGTAGCGCTACCTGAGTTCTATCGAAAAGTCTAATAACTTTTTCCTGTAAAATAATTATTTTCCAAATTATCGCAATATTCCAAATATCTTGAAAAGTTAAAAATGGCGATAATTTAGGAAATAATTATTTTACGGGAAAAATTTACTAGACTTTTCGATAGAACTCAGGTAGCGCTACCCAGAACTCCGATCAGATTGACTAGAACTCATAAAAAAAATTCTCCTATAAGTCAGTCATGAAAAGTTAAAAATGGCGATAATTTGGAAAATAATTACTTCACAGGAAAAAGTTACTAGACTTTTCGATAGAACTCAGGTAGCGCTACCCAGAACTCCGATCAGATCGGCTAGAACTCGTAAAAAAAAAGTCTATAAGTCAGCCTTGAAAAGTTAAAAATGACGATAATATGGAAAATAATTATTTCACAGGAAAAAGTTACTAGACTTTTCGATAGAACTCAGGTAGCGCTAACCAGAACTCCGATCAGATCAGCTAGAACTCGTAAAAAAAAATCTCCTATAAGTCAGTTTTATAAAGTTAAAAATGGCGATAATTTGGAAAATAATGATTTTACAGGAAAAAGTTACTAGACTTTTCGATAGAACTCAGGTAGCGCTACCCAGAACTCCGATCAGATCGGCTAGAACTCGTAAAAAAAAAAAAGTCTATAAGTCAGCCTTGAAAAGTTAAAAATGACGATAATATGGAAAATAATTATTTCACAGGAAAAAGTTACTAGACTTTTCGATAGAACTCAGGTAGCGCTACCCAGAACTCCGATCAGATCAGCTAGAACTCGTAAAAAAAAATCTCCTATAAGTCAGCCTTAAAAAGTTAAAAATGACGATAATTTGGAAAATAATGATTTTACAGGAAAAAGTTACTAGACTTTTCGATAGAACTCAGGTAGCGCTACCCAGAACTCCGATCAGATCGGCTAGAACTCGTAAAAAAAAAGTCTATAAGTCAGCCTTGAAAAGTTAAAAATGACGATAATATGGAAAATAATTATTTCACAGGAAAAAGTTACTAGACTTTTCGATAGAACTCAGGTAGCGCTACCCAGAACTCCGATGAGATCGACTAGAACTCGTAAAAAAGTTCTCCTATAAGTCAGTCATGAAAAGTTAAAAATGGCGATAATTTGGACAATAATTATTTCACAGGAAAGAGTTACTAGACTTTTCGATAGAACTCAGGTAGCGCTACCCAGAACTCCGATCAGATCGGCTAGAACTCGTAAAAAAAAAGTCTATAAGTCAGCCTTGAAAAGTTAAAAATGACGATAATATGGAAAATAATTATTTCACAGGAAAAAGTTACTAGACTTTTCGATAGAACTCAGGTAGCGCTACCCAGAACTCCGATCAGATCGGCTAGAACTCGTAAAAAAAAAGTCTGTAAGTCAGCGTTGAAAAGTTAAAAATGGCGATAATTTGGAAAATAATTATTTCACAGGTAAAAGTTACTAGACTTTTCGATAGAACTCAGATAGCGCTACCCAGAACTCCGATCAGATCGACTAGAACTCGTAAAAAAAATTCTCCTGTAAGTCAGCCTTAAAAAGTTAAAAATGGCGATAATTTGGAAAATAATGATTTTACAGGAAAAAGTTACTAGACTTTTCGATAGAACTC